ATATATTTTGATTTTTCGAAATATATATTTATATATATTGTAGAAATAGTAAATATAATTTTATTTGGACATAAAACATCATTTTATGATTGATAAAATTATATTGTAATTTTTGAATGTATTATTTCCTATTTTGAATTTATTGTATTTATTTAGGTGAAAACCGAAAATAAATATGGGAAAATTCAAAATGAACTTTATTAAACTTGGAAATATTATTTCTAAGTTGAATAAGGTTGTTGATAAATATATTGTTCAAAATAATATTAGTTAGTAATTAAATAAATATATATTTATATATGTACTCGGTTTTATTACCGAAATATTATATATATTTATATATTTGTATTTTAATTACATAAATGACTAATATATATTTTGGAAAGTTATATCTCAGTAAGAAAAAGAATGTTTTTCAAAATATTAAATTTTTGTAATTTAATATTTTCGAAATCAATTTAAATGGCTTTTTATAACTTATTGAGATTTAACTAATATATTTTGGAAATAATGATTTATAAATTTTGGAAATTTTATTTCCAGGTTTATAAATGTTAAAAATACTTACTGGAAGTTGAAATTTAATTTTCATGATTTTTGCAAAATTGTTTCAAAATTTTAATGGCCTTTTTGAATATAATTTTGCAAAAAGGGCATTTTGGTCATTTGGAATATTCTGGATATTGTTTTTATGCTGGCAGAATATCTAGAGTATATAAAATGATTTTATAAAATTTTATTAGATTTATTTGGACATCTAATTTAATTTTATGAGTTTTAGAAAATATTTACTGTCGTAGTATTTTTCTAGAACTGTCTGGGGTGAGCGCGGTTCACCCGGTGTATGTATATCTCTATTTCTTGTGTGGATGTATGATATGCATGGTGGATGATTGTGGCTATAGTTTATTTGATTATAAGACGGCCTGCGTGTCGTGCCTTATCTCATAAACTCTTGTTGTAAATCTATTTCTCTCCCTTACCTCAACCGAGGATTCTTTTCTTACGTGGTGGTTAGAAGACGATAAGATTTGAAGACCGTTTGAAGAAATCTAAAAGAATGGAGATAGCTCGAAGTCCAAGTGACCGGAAGCCAATGGGAGGTATCGTTTTATTTTTCTTTTAGAGGCCACATTCATTACACGTTTATTTACTGCGTTTTGTGAATGCATGTTGAATGTATGTTGAACGCTAGTAATTGACATGTGCGCGGCCATGTCGATAGGTGAGATCGAAATTATAAATCCCTCACGAATATTAAGTCTGTCGCCTTCTGACGCCCGGCACCTATCCGGCTAATGTGCACTGTCATGTACTCAGCCTCAGCAGAGCATAGTACGGTGTATGTTAAGCTGGTTACGGGAACCGCCATAGCGTGGTCGCTGTCGCACGTTGGGTTAGACTTAACTGAGTCTCGGTCAAATGGATGGACG